AACATACGTCGTTTCGGTGCGAGAACTCTAGTCTGTGAGACAACTATCCGTATGTTGTTATTTGCTGACGACTGTGCTTTGTTTACACACAGCGCGGATGCGTTGTAGCACAAGACTAGTGCTCTGGCATCGACAGCGGCCAAATTCGGGCTCACCATCAACACAAGCAAAACTCTCTGTCTCTTTCAGCCTTCACCAGAGGTGCAGTCTTCAATATCGCCGTGAATCAGCATTAGTGCTAAAGTATTGGAAACCATCTCCCGCTTCTGCTACCTTGAGGGTGTGATGTCGACTGATCGATAGCTACACAGTGAGTTACCTATCCGCGTGTCAAAGGCAGCAACGGCATTCGGGAAGCCTGAGTACCGAGTGTGGAACAACCATCAGCTTACCATTGGTACGAAACTGACGGTGTATAGATTCATGGTGCTGTCCGTTCTTTTATACGGCAGCGAAACGTGGACGATGTACCGGCGGGATGTGCGATAACTCGAGCGGTTCCATCAGCAGTGTCTGCGACGGATTTTGCGCCTCGGTTGGGGCGACAGAATTGCTGACACGGAAGTGTTTCGACAAAATGAGAGGTAGGCAGTGGACTGCATACTTTTGCTGAGACACCTGAAGTGGCTCGGTCATGTGAGGCGTATGGACCCAACGCGGATACCGAAACGATTACTAGACGGTCAGCTGAGTACTGGGAAGCGGCATGTGGGGAAACCAAAATTACGTTAACAAAAAATGATCAAAGTGAGCCCTTCACGTTCTAATCTTGATTGCAGGTCATGGGAATCGAAGACGGTTGATCGGCGTGCATGGCGCAATCGGATCACGAAGGCAATTGCCGAAATGCGGGAGAAAGACCTCACACATGCAGAAAATAAGCGACAAGTGCGGAAGCGGCAAGCGCCGATGGGTTGTACTCCGTCGATATCGAGCGCATGGTGCTGTAGCATATGCGGTCGTGAGTGCCTGAGTCAGGCAGGCCTAGTGAGCCATGAGCGAGGCCACTCGGGACCACTACCGAAGCGACGACGGGTCCTGCATGGAAGGTAGGCAAAACCGGCAAGGCGTTTGTAGGTACGCTGTATTTGATTTACTAACCGCGTGGCTGTATGCTAAATCGCTTTATTTCAGGTGGTGGGTTTGCAAGTTTATCCTAATGCTTTTCTTTCTCATACAATTGTCTACTAGTATTCTATAAACTTGCACACGTCGCTTAAGTCAAAGGTATCTAACTTGGATAACATTTCCGCGTTTTTAGCATTTCCTTAAAATATATTTTCTGACTTCGTGAACTTATCTCGGATTCTTTTGTAAACGACTTATTTCATATGCTCATAATTTTAAAATTTACGTCACCGCTTCCTTGCGGCGGCATCCGGTTTCGGATTTGCCTGCCACTGGACGCCACAGGACGCCTGCGCCTACAGATGGACTATGGGTGGCTTGCGCTGCACCACCCACAACTCCAACCACACCCCCCATATCTAGTGTATACCCGAAGGAATAAGACCGGGAGGCATGCGGATGGGAGCCATGTTTCATCAACGGAGCCGGCCCACACTCCTTCACAAGCACGCTGTATTTGGGGAATCAACCGCACACAAGGCGGTGGCTGGACCGTAGTCCGCTCCACACTGAGTGCATGGAACCACTCTTCGAGCCTAGCACGGCCACAAGGACCGTGCACCCCGACCCCTCCAGCAACGACCAACTGTCTGCTGGAGCCAGTATGGAGGAGGTAGTGGGTAATAAACAGGTAGGCACCTTGTCAACATGCCCATCAAGCGCAGCCACACGGGGGGTAGCAAGCAACGGCCATTCACTTTAAAGGATAAGCTGAAGTAAAATAAATCCAATAATGCATACAGATACGGTGGCATAACTCCTCCCTAAATTACCACATGAAGTAAGTTGGTTAGCAACGAATCCGCGATAAGTAAGAAATGTCCACAAGTTACTTAAAAATGCTACAAACACAACAAAATTACCGAAGATAAGCGCAATTAGCGTAAGCAACGTGGCCAGTTAATAGAACATTATTCAGATAGGCAGAACAAACCAAATAAAATGGAATGAAATGTATGCAGTTTAAAAATACCTAGTTTAAGTGCAAGTTGGTTTAGCCCAACTGTGGTGAAGAAGCATCAAGGATGCAACATCAACCTCAGCATGGGGCACAACTATATATATATATATATATATATATATATATATACATATGTATATATATACATATATATATATATATAAAGGTTGCAGTTATTGTGCCATCGGAACCAAGGGCAAAAAATAAATGCAAAATGCGAGGTCAAACGGAAGCGGCTTTTCCATTTTTGCACACACAATTTTGAGTTTTTTATGTTTTAGTGATTTTCTACGTTCGCTTTGCGAGTAAATAATGGATGATGCGGTAGGACAAGAATGGTGCCACTGATATCCGCTGTGCACCATTACTCCTATTGTTTGTAATCATTGGGATTTAGAGTCGCGTAGTCCCCATCCAAGAACGTTGACTGTTCCGGCTGAAGCCAAGCTTAAGGTTGCTTTCCTCATGCGCTATCATCGTATGATTTGGTTGTCCACTGCTGCAGTTTTTCCAATCGGCTCTGGGAAGTGTAAATAAGGCTGGAAGGCGTAGGCGATAGCCTGGCATGTGCAGTACGCGACCAAATCAACGCATACGATGTCGGGGATTACGTTGTGGAGGCCGGGGCTGTTCGATCCAAGCACTCGGTCGCAGACTTATGTGTTACTTGCAAAATGTCGCCTCCACAAGCAATAAATCCCACGCAGACAACGATTGTCAAGAGCTGACTCAGGTGTAGTATACAAGTAGCCTACTCAATGGTGTTTCAAACCCGAGTACACAGTCAGGAGTTAAACAGTAAGGGTAACGTCGGTCACGGTACCAACGATACGGAATAAGGGGTACGCGGTGTAAAAGTGCGGCAGTGGTAGCAGTAAGCCAAGTGAAAAAGAGTAAGCTACAACGGAGCTCAATGAGTAGTCATAAGATCTTTGGACTACAGTTCCCAGAGCTGTGCAAATAGGTTCAGAAAATCTCTCATCGATTCTCAATGGCCATCAGGGTATGCTAGTACTTCCAATATCACTGTTTCATGTTACAGTAAGAATAATGAAACACTGACCTAAAGATTCAGCTGATACGGATTTTCTTTTGATTGACAGACAAACTCTAAATGCAGGGGATACATATGTTTCCTAGAGCCAGAACCAGTGCTCATGCGAGCGTTGCACACATGAGTATGTATTCCACATAGTCAATATGTAAAGTATAGGTGATGGGCTATAATACCAGTTCACAAAAAAGCATGAGAGCAAAATGACTAGTCGGAGGAGTTGAACGGTGTTGATAACCGTGTCACCTCTGTGGTAGAATACGCGAAAGGTTTACTGTAGGTATAGGTACCAAAGAAAAGAGCAATACAGCAACTTGGTAGTCAGCGACAGTGTACAACGCCGTATTGCGTCCTATGGATATCACGTGTGTGTGTGAAACATGAGTCCTCAATCACCGGTGATGGAAAGGAATTGTTCATATTTGAATACATCGCTCAGTAGAACCCACAACACTGCAAATGACTAGGTCATTTGTTGAAATTGTGTCAGTTAGGTCACGTTCATCACATTTCAATCGAACGCATACGGTGGTGTGTAATGGTTTCCGAGGTAGTTAAAAGTTCGGCAAAGTATGAACGTCTGACCGCGTTGGCGAAGATCAGTCTTTCTTACTGGTGTATATGAGACACGGGCACATCAGCTGTAATTTAATCTGCTACCTAACGTACTAACTGGACTGCGATTCTTTCGGAAAATGGTCAAGGTGCCACGAGCTGACCAATCTAGTCCCCTTGCTTATCTGTGAGTAAAAGGCATGGTGTATAACGCTGTGATGAGACGGGTGTTAAAGTATGGATCAGAGACGCGGTCACTTCACGTTGTAGACAAAGTTTTTAACCGTCTTTGATCACCGACGCTTGCAGAATGTCGACGACGTCTCGTGGAAACTCCGGGCTACTAGTGCTGAGGTTCGCCCGTTTGTGTTGGGTAAGAGACCCTCGGGTGCCTGTTAAACATGAATGGCTGATGTTGGCCAGGTCATCTCTTCCATATGCTCGTTGACCGCGAAAGCGATAAGTGGCCAGTCGATGAAGTAAAGGCATGAAGAAATTGACAGAAAGACGCAAGCACATCATCTGCCCAGATGGGTCGTATCTGTGGTTGGAGTCCTTATCTAATAAGGTGCAATCGAGTAATCAGTAAAGCTCCGGCACTATTGTTGCATCTAGCTGTTAGTATAACACCTGACTAATTTCATCCAGTTTTTTGTTAACTCCCCGTTTCTTGTTTCCCGTATGTGCTCTACCTCACTGTCCCACTGTTATTTGATAATATTTGACAGGGCGCGAATCATGGCGATGCGATCCAATGCGTTTCGATACCCAAATCACGGTAGTTTAACTGAATCGAACTGCATTGAAAACCAGCCAAATATGAGAGCCCCGAGTAGCAGTGTGTCGGTGGTTAGGAAGCAGGAAGACTGAAAAGTCGATATGTTAAACAAACACGCTCTTAAATAGGACTGGGAATACCCTGGTTGTTTAACGAGCTCTGATAGGTGGTAAAGAGGGTAATAGAGAAACGGCAAAGGAGGACGTAGATGACCATAATTTTCCAGTACCGGTCTGTCTCACTTCATTGAGGAACAACAAAACCGAAGCCAAAACGACAGTGTCCGTCTACATCACTAACAGTGCAGTGTAGCGGGAAACAAGGATTAAAAAAGGAAAGGGAAAAAGGACCAAGCGAAAGAGGGTCCCAATAGCAAGAGCGTGCAAAATCAAACGCGTAAAGCATCCACACAGATCGTGAACGTGAGTCACTGTGGGGCATGCGGGGACAAACGGATGAGGGGGAGGCTAAAAATGGGAGGGGGGCACACAGCCCCGGGAACAAGACATTTGGGTGCGACTCACTTGGTACATCACATCAGTTACCACCTACGCAAACGAACAAGTGTGAACACACAGAGCACAGTGGTAAGGTGGAGCCAAAACGGAGCGGAACGGGTGCAGCGTTAAAGGCATTCAAAGGAGATTAAAAGCGTGTGAATAGGAAGCAACACTTTTGGTGAAACTCCGTTTCGCTTGTTACAATTTTCGTGGGACAGATTGACGTTGAAATGGACAACAGTACGGTAAAAACAAGCGGAACGGTGCAGGCGAGAAAAACACGCAGTAAACTTCTTAGCATAGACATCAACAAACACGCGAGGTAGACAAAAGGCCAGTTTTGCTTACTTTGTTTGCCTTATCTGGATAAATTTTAGGGATAATCACTTAGGACGAGACATGCAGTGAAACCAATGTTAGGGCCGCGTAAATGGAGTGAAGTGCCGCGCCGTGTGAGTCGGCTGCCTGGCTACAACGAACCTAAAAGACAGACCAAAGCCACTAGCGGTATCATGCCCCAGCAAAAAAGCTGCGAGTCAGTTAGGTTACAGGTGGTGGTGAACAAAATGGTGTTGGCAATACACTCTTGTCAAGCATACAACCGGCGCTAGCTACATTATGCTTTCGAGCCTGGCTTTCGCGTGCAGTAGAGTCCTGCATTGTGCAATTATTCACAGCAATTAAAGTGTGGAAACGACGTTGTTAGAAAACTGCTGACAAAAGTCTGGTTAGTTGCTCGATCAAGACAATTGATCGTATGGACCGCAAATCCAACACTATATACGCTGTGGAGTTAAACATGCTAGAAGTAAGTTTGAAATCCGGAGTCATAAGTGAGAGGGACAACCAATCCACACATCGGCAAACCCACTGGGAGAGAAACTGTGGCGCAGGCAGACAGTGTCAAGGTTCTGCCAAGTAATTCGTCACAAACACACCGAACTGTTGGCAAGATGTAGCGAATGCGAAACAGATGCACAAATAAGAGTCTGGAACAAAAATGAAGAATGAGCAGTAAAGAGAAAGAACGGGCTTCCGATAGCGCGTTGTCGTTGCCAACAGTGGTCAGTTGTGGAGCTCGCATAGCATCGTGAAACTGGCGCAGATTTTATCCTGGGCTCAGATTAATCATACCGTCACCGTGCGCGACTCGAAATTTGCAGTTAACAATCGAGTCTTCCTCAACACACTGCGGTATCTGCAGTGTGAACCAACGGGGTTTTCCTCCAGGACACTACCACTACGTGGCAACTCATATCCCATGCTAAAATCAACCATCTTCTATAATTTATGTATGACCCTGTTATAATACTGAGCTACGAATAAAAAGATGTAGAAGTTATTCACCTTCAGCTGAGTCAGTAAACGAACTTGCTATCAGCCAGTCATTTTTGCTGGGTCTCAGTGCAATTGTGTGTGTACACACGTCTGGCAGCCAAGTCTCTTAGACTGCACCGATCCGAATTCAGATGGCTACCCTGTGCATGGGGTACCATCGGGGAAAGGCATTTCGTCCGTTCCGACTAGGAATTTAAACAGCTAGGACGTGTTAAAACACAGTCTAGGAATAGTCATGGGGCCAACAAAAATCATCGAAAACAATGGAAGGTGCGGGTATCGCAAAAACCGAGCGTAATACACAGCGATCCATGGTTACTTCAGAAGATGTAGGAATTCCCAGTTGCCCGAGTCGGAGCAGGGTGTTGTCATAGGAGACACTAGCCCGAGCATTTGGTTGAATAGTTTACCCAGAACAACGCAACGTAATCACACCCATTGAGAGCTCATGACCAATTTTTCATTTCGGAGGTCTTCGTTTTGGCGGCTGAGAAAACATGGGCTCAATACACTCGGTTTTCACTCGTTAAACCATATTATTCCACAGAAATGAAACAAAGGGAATTGACTTTAGCTAGTGCCGAGTCACAACCGTCAGGCGGCAGTATTGCTAAACGGACATTCGTGGCCCTTAATGGGGAAAAGAAATGCCCGTCAAAGTCCATCATGTCTTGAAACATCATGGAGGAACCATTTGTTGAAAGTGGTCAAACCAGAAACACTCAACTGGCACTAGGAGGAGACTGTTCGGCGAGTCAGCCAGATAGGGTGGCTGTGACATTCGTCCTTACTGTCATCTATGATACCTTGGCGCAATTTGGATGAAAATGATGCAAAGATGCGAACAGGTGAAACAGTGATAGAACGAACGCGCTATTCTCGACAGCCGACTGCGTCGCTCGGGGTTTGGGGCCACGTTGGAAAATAGAAGAGTGAACTCCGTATAATTAGATGGAGTGTGCACATGAGTGTCAATATAGATACGAGTACCCGTCGTTAAAGAGGTCGAAGTCGGCAGTGCGGTCAAAAATGGTCATTACCAATTTTGGCAATAATGAATGTTGAAAATGGGTGGTTCGTTAGAGGAGATTAGAGAGGCGTTTGAGGCCAAAAGAGAGTCTGCATAGGAAAAGCACTGATAAGCTGCGCAAGATGATGTGAAAAATTGTAGAGGTGTTCATCTTACAAGCAAGCAGTGCAAATTGCGACGGAACTGTAAGTGAGGGTGAGCTGTGTCGCTGTTAGCACATTCACTAGCCTGGTTTGAATAAACGCGCTTGAAACCATCGATGAGCATAGAAAACAGGCTAATTTGGTTGAGCGGGAAAGCCAACTGAAAGTGGACTCCAGTATCAGTAATAACCGCTAGACAGTAAAGTGTAAAGGCAGTAGACACGCATGCCAGTTGTAAGTCCCAAGAGTGCACTCGTTTACGTCTTAAATTTAAAGACAATCTTTGGAGACGAAGTCCTGACCACATACCGATATTTCTGCAAAATTGTTTTAGCAGGAAGAAATTTATGCATGTGTTCGTAAGGGGTGTTTCTGCTAACATCCCCAACCGTAAATCCGATATTGCAAAAGAGTAAACTGTGATTCGTCCTGTATATGTTAAAGGAAACATTGCGGCAGGTTGTCTATCCTCTGACTGACGGTGATTAACCGTGGGTTCAGCCGCTTTCTTATATTACGAATCACACCGAATATTGACAAGTTGGAATCAGGCGAGTGTTTCCAGTAAGGGCGGTGTGATACCACCTCTCGCAATTTTGGAAGCAAGCATGAAATTTGCCCACCAATGTAACAGGCCACCGCATAGCTAGAAGGACAGGGTCTTTTGAAAGGAATCCACTCATTATGTAATTTGATCACACACTAGATCCGGTGCTGAAGTTGCCCTTATACTCTCAACGATTCCATTTGGTATCCAGTAGTGCCGCTAAAAGGTATTACAAAATCGAAAGCTCTCCGTGGGTTTCTAAGTTTCCACGAATCAGCGGGAGATTTTCTTTCGGGATTTACAGCGAGAATGTTCATGTAAGTGAACAGTAACGTATGTAAGAGTCCTTGTATAAGTTCATTCCTCTCGACCCGAAGTGAAACCTTTCTGAAAGTGTTCACAAAGCTTTCTTTGTATCCATCCCATTGAGGATGATAAGGAGGCGAGCGAAGGCGCTTTGATATAAGACAAGCATTCTTTCAACCGTATCAATGGAAGAGGAGCGTGAACCAATAACATTTCGAACGCGTGTAAAATGAGAGATGACCGCAACGATTAAAGGAAGAGAAGTGCCTGAGATCATGAAGAGTCCAAAACTGGAAGTATAATAAGTGAGTACAAAATGCGAATTTCGATTTGAGTTGCACTTGGACAACGCTTCTTGCCAATCGGCCCGAGGTGTTTGTAAGTCGTAATCGAGCTAAGAGCCCATAAAAATCAGGTAGGAGGTAGAGGTGGACGATGCAGCAAATCTACATTTCAAGGAACTATTTCGGTGTCAATGTAGATCGTACCGATGGTGCCTTGACGTTTGGTGGTTCCGGTAGTGGACACCTGTGCCCAATACTTATGAAGAGATTTTATGGAAAACTAAATCTGTAGTTCCCAAAACCGATTATCCTGTTTGGGACTTTCTCTGTACTTTAATGTTGTTTCCTAGGGTTAGGTCCATGGCAATGACATTACTCAGCTATGCCTCAGGATAATTTGAGGATGAGAAGATCGCATCCATAATATGCTAAATGACGGCAAGAGAAACGTTGAAATCAAATGGAAGACACGTAAACCGATGAGGTTCACAGTGGGCGTACATGCTTAGTAGCTCCAGCGATTCTCCACACACATTTGAAGTTGAACATCAATGGCTAGCTGAACAATTTTCTGCTGTCAAGTAACGCAGATGGGTCCTCACAACTGGTTGGGAGTAGCGGTGACCTCCATCAGACCGAGGGAACGGTTTTCACAAAAGTGGAGCTTACAAAACAGTTTCAAAACGACCACGATTGAGGCTGTCTAAGAAGAGTGGCTATTAGCTGATGCGAACGGTTTGACCGAGGTTCGCTTCAATGCGAATCGCAACCATTCACACAACGAGGCGTCCCGTCCAATTGAGTTGAATAGATGCTCTCAGTCTGATAAACAAGTGAAATTGCTCCGTCAAGTTCAGAAAGGTAAACAAAACACGAAGCATTAAGGGAACAATTGTTTTCGATTAATTGTTCTTCAGGCTCATACAATAATATACATTAGGGTAAGGTCTAGATATGAGGAATTCGCCGTACCACAACATTGCGCAATGGCTAGCAAAAACGTTGAATCCCATCAGGCAAATGATTGCTCCACATAGACTGGCAGATACATCCCAGTCCGTCAACGAAATTCGAGATATGAATGTCCAAGAGTATCGGATGTTTTCCTTAGACGTTGTTTCATTGTTCACCAACATGCCTCTGAGAGAAACAGTTAACTACCTGTGCTCGTACATTGACCAGCATGGTATAAACATCGGTATACGAAGCAACCAACTGAAACAACTGATACTCAGATGTACGTACAACGTTCAATTTCAATTCAATAGCGAGTTTTATAGACAGGTTGATGGCGTTGCAATGGGATCTCCGCTTGGTCCATTGTTAGCGGATATTTATATGGGAATGCTAGAAAGCGGTTCAATAAAACACGTCATATCGGGTCTGAAATTCTATCGGCG